CAGTCAGGGTGAAGCGCTAAGTCGGGATCGTGATGGCTTAGTAAGCTCTACTCAAAACTCAAGGAAGGTACTGAAGCTATTAAAAGAGGCTCCCCCCATGAATCAACGCTAAAAAGTTTCTGCACGAGAGTTTCGGACCATAAAATGTGAAGAGCTTTGCTCAAATATAACCTGGGCAGAATCTCAATTGAAATTAAGATTTAAGAGGGTTTCTCTTTTCTCAAAAGTCAAGATACTGCGATAAGTTCCTCTATTTACCGAGCACCTTAAAATGCCTTCGAAGGGCATCCTGTATCTATGACCAGTAGAAAATGAGGAATACGGCGATGATTAATGGCGGTTTCAGTACGACCCTCCCCGAAATTTTCTCGTCTGATATGCCCCCCCCCCTTCCATATTCTACCTACGTGCTTCCTAGGTTCTCCCCGACTTCCTCCCACTTTTAGGAAGTTTTTTCAAAGACTGTCTATTTTTCCATTTTTCAGTTGCATAAAAGTTCTACGAGGCACTAACAACTAAGGAGAGCTAAGAGAGAAAGAGAGAAAGAGTGACAGAGAGAAAAAAGGGAAGGAAAGGGGAGGAAAGGAAAAGCCAACAAGGGGTAAATTCTGGTTCTTCTCGAAAGCAAATATGACTCCGCTCCTAGCGAGAGAGTACGACTCACTGCCAGGATTTCCCCAAGGTTCTCTACATTCTATCTACGTGCTTCCTAGGTTCTCCCCGACTTCCTCCCACTTTTAGGAAGTTTTTTCAAAGACTGTCTTTTTTGAGGTGCTCTACCCCTGTCTGCAAGTTCGTATAACCATTGCCACCACGCAACACCGATTGTGTCAGTTGGCTAATCGTGGAATGTGTCCTGAGTGAAAATAACCCAGAAGCGCGACACTTACCTTCCACAAGGGATCGCGAAATAAAAGAACATCAGCATTCGACTTCTGTTTTCACCAGTGAACATATCGGCGATTATAGACGGTGAAATGACTGCATATGAGGCTTCTCCGACACCGACTATCCCTCGGAACAACAAAAACATCCAGAACATCTTAAAGAAGGATCTCCATTTCCTTCCAATAGTGAAAAGCGAAAGGCTCAATTGTGATGAGGGAGCAATCGTGATTCGTTTGAAGATAGCAATGCATCACGCGCCAGGACCAGGGCACATCATCAGGACATGTGTATGACGTCCTAGGTAAGACCCTCTTCTCCCGCCCCCTTTGGACAAAGGGTCTTGGTATGACTTCTCTTCCAGCATCGTTCAGTTCGAATCAGAAGCCTAATGCGACCGCTAAACATTTATCTCTAGCGGTAGTCAGGAAGTAGAAAATAATATTTTCCGCGAGAGCAAGGTATAGGGGAAAAGGGAAAGGCATTGTAGAGTACTAGGCCGTGGTCTTCAGTAATTGAACCAAATCAAAGGCATATGGCACGATAATTTGGTCAAGGAGCAATTTTGGACGAGTTCCCCGTAGGCATCTTGCCAATAACCGCTCACGTATGTACTCATATATCCATGCAGCACCGCGGCCGCTTCATATCAATCCCTTCGCTTCATATTTTACTTCGCAAATGAAGCAATACGAGCATCAGGTACGGTCGTCCATTTGTGGGCGGGCAGGCGCGGTGGGCGTCCGGGTCTTTTGCAGCTCGATAGGGCCTCCAAGCGTACCCTCATTGGGAAGGGCGACGCGCAGCGCCTGCACATGGGAACCGAATTGTTCTGCTAGGCGTGATGATCCTATACGTCTTAGGGATTTATCGTGCCAACTGCGATGGTCTCCAAAACCGTTGAGAAGAACGAACTGCCCGCCCCCGAAAACATATTGCACCTTTTGCCCCCAAAAACATATTGCACCTTTTCTGAGGACTCTATATAGAGTAAAGAAAGTATGGATATCGATATAGCGAACGGCAGCGTCTGCTGGCGTCTACCACCGTCTACCAGCGTCCACCAGCGAACAGCAGCGTCTCGAAGGTTAGGGAAGTATAGGTATCGATCTAGCGATCCGCTGCGTCTACCTGTGTCACAAGCGACCAGTAGCTTCCATGAGTGGAGATATGGGGCGATAGAAGGAAGCAGAGGCTGGTGCCCTCGTATCGCTTCATACTCCGCACCAGCAGTCTGCTACCTTCCTATTCCCCATACTCTACCAGCAGTCTATTACCTTTTTATCTTCCCATACTCTACCAGCTCCTCGCTGGCGGTCGCTGCCGCGAAGTATGAACGCGCCTCGCGCTCCACATATTAATTTTCTCAGCATACTATATTACGTCAAGGAACGATTGCTTCCCTCATATGCAATGGAGCCAAGCCAAAAAACAGTTTGAACCAACATTTTCGGGGACAAAGGTGGAGGCGATCACGGCCAGAACCCACACGGCAATTCCGACAGTCATAATCCACTTTCTGATGTACCTGTAACCAGTACTTATGATTCAAAATCATTAATTTTAATTTAAAGCGACAAATACTAAGAACTTACCTATCACCCATAAAGCCACAAACTGGCGAACATACCATAAAAAATACCATAAATATAGTTTGTAACAATCCGCCTTGGGCGTCATTAATCTTATAATAACCTTGAATATTTGTTAACACACCTAAATTTTGAAGATGACAGAGATTAATTATTTACGATACAACAATGGAACAAAAGGAATTATGAAAGGTAATTTTACCCGCAATTGTATACCTATCCATATAGTTAAGAAGATTAATACAAAATAGAATAGCCATACTTAAATAGACTCTTGGAACCTGAAAAGACACTTGTAGACACTACGAAAGTACTAGTACGCGGAAAATCTAGATATGTTATTGAATTCCCCTCTCCCTCCCTGGGGCCCGTTGTGCATGGGCTAGCTCCCAGTCGCGACGTCGCTGTACGAGTTTACTTATGGTTAGGAGTCGACACGCAATGCTGCTGCTGCCATGTCAAGCGGGTTTGGTCCCGGTGCGAATTTTGAGTACGTCATCCTGCTTGCAAAGCCTGTTTCGCCTATAACTTTTCGGCGTCTATTTTCATATTTATTCTTCATAAAACGAATGTTCTCGTAGATATTCATCAAGCGCACATCATCGCTAGGTGTTCCCCAACAGGGGATCGATTTGGTCGCTGGGAGGGGAGGATCTCACCTGGCTGGGGAAACCTTCTTTTGATGGTCAATTTTTCTTGTTTTAGGGAGGGCTATAAAGGGAGTCGTATTTATTTGTTGTTGGGAGACGGGGAGATTGGCTTCTGACCTTTTTAGTGGTTGTTGACTTTTCGTGGTTTTTCCTGTTTCATACGCACTGTAAGCTCCATAACCCCCTTCTTTCCCACCCCCCCCCCTCGCGCCCTGTTGGCAAGCAAAGAAAGAACTAGAAAATTGCTCGGGAGAAATTGTCGGAAGAACTGGCGCTTGGCAAGATAGGGGAAAATCTAAGAAAGTCCGTTAGTGTAAGTTAGATGTGAGGATGGGGAAGGAAACAAAAGAACAAGTGTAGTCGCGACATTCTTCGATGCTTCTTCGCGTTCACATGTTGTTATATCCTCCACGGGAGCTCCGATGTATCAGAAGGGGGAGGGGAGAGGCGGTCGTATCGAGTCAAGCCACCTGTCCAGGTGTGGGGGGGGGCGGTCGTACGGACTGGACCAAAATTTCCAACTAATGATATGCCTTGTATGCATTTGTACACCGGCACACTAAGCCACGCTCCCTCGACCACGGATATTTTCGCGTATTTTTGCGGAATTGCAACTCTCCCCCCAAAATTTTCGCCCTTATCGATTGTGAAAGGTAGCTCTGCTCACTACCAGGAGCCTCGCCCACTTCACAGAAGCTACGCCCACTTATGAAAAATGATCCGGATCGGCAGATTACAGTCCGAACTGGCAGGTTATGGTACCTCTCGTCACTCGGAACTAACATTCCCTTGGTTTTCATCGACTGTTGTTGATTGCCGTCTTCCCATTCACTCCATATCTCTCCATTTACAGTCAATTAATTGCCATCATTTACTGTAATTCTAATTTCTGACGGCTTCTGCGATTGTAACTTCTGCGTTGTCGCTGTTTCTATTCTTTACGCTCTCGTCTTCGACACATTGACGTGCCTCGCTCTTGTTTCTCCAGATCAGTTTTTTCTTTTGCTGTAGATGTGTCATAACTCTCAGTTACTGTGCTCTTCACACCATTTTCGATAACTCCCATTATGCCTGAAAATATCACAGCTTAATATCGATTGTATTGATTGCGTTGCATAGATGCGACCTGTAGAAGCTACAGTCGAAGACGCGTAAAGAAGCGATATAGTTCACGGAAAGACACCCATCGAAGCGAACATTCGATTATATGTGGTAGGTAAGGAGGACAAAAACGGCACTTATCGTGTCGCTGTTATGTCAAGGGAGGTGCCCTTATACACGGCCCTATCAAGCTGGACATAGCGACCAACGACGCCCACCGATCCGCGGCCCGCAAGTGGTAGACCGATGCTGCTTGCCTCTGTCTACTTCATTTGCAAGTACAATATGAAGACGAAGGGACTGATATTGAGCGGACGAGCGTGCCCTGCCAATGCCGAGAACATACTCACATCCAGTGCCAGCCGTATCTACCGTGGCGGTTATTGGCACGATGCCAACGGGAAACTCGTCCGGAATTGCTTCGCCTTTTCCCACTACATAGCACCCGCTATCATTTTAGATCGAAGCCAAGTTTATCGTGCCACTAATAGCCTTGAGTAGAGCTTTCAAATTCTGCCATCAATGGGCCACGGAACGGCGCGGCTGAGGTGGATACCTGGGTATCGCCTCCGCCAGTGCTACCGCCCAAGGTCAAGCGCTTGCGTTGATACCAAAAATCTCCAGCGAAACGCGCACTCTGGTAGCAGCCAGAAGTGAGAGGGCGCAGACAAGTAGCGCGTTTGGCTATGCTTACAGAAGGCTGTGGTTGGCCAGTGCGGCAGAGCGGGTGTGTGGTGTTGCTTAAAAGATCTCATTTCACACCCTATCATGCCTCTTGGACGCGAAGACTCGCTGCGGGTTGCGCTGACTTAAAAGGGAGCGGCGCACCGCGTTCAATATTTTGCAGGAGTAGGCGCTCAGTAGAACAGCGAGTAGCCCAAGGCAAGCATTAGGAAGAAAGTAATCGAACAGAAAAACGACGCAAGAATGCCTTCTTAGAAGGACCTTTCATACGAACAGACGTTGTACGTGTCAAGGCGAAGATTAGAAGGATTACGAGTGATTGCACGAGTTTCCACTTGTTCATATCAGCTGTTTTCCCTTATCACCTCACTCTCACCACTCCACGTGGAGAGAAGCAGCAATGGAACAACCGCACCATCAGGCAACCATTAGAAATGAAGTTGGGTGGCGTGGTCGGCAGGTGGGCGGAGCCATAGGCTCTTTGCGGGCGGACGCCGCTGTTCCGTCGCATTTTTGTGGCGGTGGGAAACTATGCCACGTCCTACCAATCCTCATAGCTGCAGCTATTAGATCAGAGAGGGCGTGAGACAACAAATGAGACGCGGCGCCTGACTTGTAATTGCTCTCTCACTAACTCCTGACCTCTCGTCTACAGACACAACTGAGCCAAACTGAACATGGAAAGTAGAAGGAAAAAATAAAAGTAAACGTAGGAAATGTCATAAAAAAGATGTTTTCATAAATTTAAAATGTCCAAAAACACATTTAACCACTTACAACAACTGAAATGCAGACGTACACAACATGAAATTACTGCAATCAAAGTAGGAAAAAAGGGGCACGTGTTGGAAATTGTGCTACTGCTTTCATTCATGAAGCCTATCCCAAAGTGATCGTAAATTCTAACGATAATTACTTGCGGTTGAATATGTCTTGTGCAAGAATCTCGCGGCATTGCAAGGGACTTTATGATGCCATCTCTTACTAGGAGGTGTCAATTCGCTTTGAAATTATGACGCCACTACGTTAAAACTCGTTAGGCATCTCGTTTTATCAACCTTCAACCTAATATAAAGCTCGCTCGCTAATCAGTATTTAAGCGGGCTGATCAGCGGAAATCTTTAGCAATGTTGTTTGTGTAACGCAGAGTAGAGCATGAACGATAAAACTCCTCCCTTTATTCCGTTCCCACCAATTCTCTGATTTTCCATGATGTCTCCGGCAGTACACCACTCCCTTTCCCTTTGTGCACGTTTTCTTTTTAGACCAATCTTCGAATCTTGTATGCCTTAGAAATGGCTGCGCATCTCAAAATCGAAGCGGAAGAATGATTGGTCGAAAAACTGTCCTAGATTTTTTACTACGCACGACCATCCTAAGCTAATTTATTGTGTTCATTAACTCATTTTCGGCATGGCTGTATTCTCTTACGTGCACTGTTTCATGGGGTTCAAAATTTTCAACTGTAGTCCTTAATTCTACTAAATTTGCTCAAAAATCAGCAGTAAATAATCAGTCATCATGATGTAATCGTCAAGTAGAGGAAAGGTCAGGAGTTAGTGAGAGAGCAATTAAGTCAGGCAACACCGCAGGCGAGTCTCCCCGAGAGGCATGATAGGTGTGAAGTGAGATCTTTTAAGAAAGTCCTACACCCGGAGAGCGGGCTGAGTGGAGACATGGCCACCGATGGTGTTGTTATGCCCACTAATCCACAGAGGTGACGTGAACAGTTCGTCCCTAACCAGGGAAACATCCGCCAACACCTAGGTTTGGGCTTCCAGTTACTTCACATTACACAAGCCCTTTGAACTTCGACAAATTGACACAAAAGCGAAATCCAAAATCAGAGAAATGAGGCTACCTTGACAGCAGCAAAACAAGGTAAAGACCCGAAGAGACGATTCGCGATACACTCAACGCTGAAAAAGCACTCATGAATCACCATAAAGTTTCTTTACTTTGATGGTAAACGCGGTGACAAAGGCTGAACGCGTCACATACTTGTAATGCTTGTAATGAGAGGTTAACCTTCCAGAAATAAAGAAGAAAGATCAAAGTGAAATTCTGCACCGACACAAACGTAGTTATATTCTCGGAAGTGTGGAGGAGCGGGATGACAATCATAGCGGAACTGATATCAACCTTTCTTGTGAAAAGTCCTCAGGTACTCGTCGCACGGCAAATCTTTTCTTTATTGCACGACGTAGGAGGTCATATACATGGACAGAGAAATGAACGTCTGTCTAGGATATTAACTGTAGCCTAACCCAAGATTATACAACAGTTTTATTTGCTTACGTTCGGGAGAAATAAGCGTTTATTTGCGCTGAGCCATTCTTTAGTTGTGGCCGAAAAAAGAAGTGAGAAATTTTTTGTCGGAAGGGTAGCACAGCCTTCTCGTAGTGAGCTGTTTTCTTGGCGCGAAACACTTGGTTAAAACCGTGGTGGAAAAGTAGGAGGAAGAAGTTAAGAGAAGCTGGAAAACTCCACGGGATCATAGGTGGCATAGGTAAGGGGGACGTACCGAATGAGGAACTTCCACGGGGTCGCACTGAAACCGCTATTTCACCTATCACAATGGTTTACCGAAGGGAGTTCCCATAAATGCCAGACTCATTGAGCTACACACAGCGGTGAGATGGTGTGGTGGATGGGCTTCTGGGATTTCGTTGGCAGTGCCTTTGTAGTTCGGATCCTGCTGAGCAATATTGGACAGGGGCTCCAAACATATAACACATGAAAACGGAATGAGAGAATTCCGAAATTGTCCCTGCGTGAAGAATCGGACCATTTTGGTAGGTCAGAAGCCCGTAGTACCTTTTGAT